AATAGAGTTGATAACCCCCCCCCCCCTCCTCCCGTCTCTCTCTCCATCCCCACTGGCCTTGTTCCTTCCCGCCTTTGCAACGGCCCATCGGCGGCGGCCGTTATTTACAATCTTGCGTTTGAAATTCCCGCGTAAATGTCCGCGCTGAGACGGCGCCTCTATCAGTCCTTTCTGAAGCCATAGCCAGACATCATTGAGTGTGAAACAGTACACCAGTGTGTGCGACACAGGATATAATTAACACACAAATCTCCAATAATCCAATCACCCCTCTCCCCCCTCACAAAAACATAAATTCCGAACACCGATCGCACGCAAATTAGTAATCACTCACCATCACGACAGGCTAAATTAGGCTGAGTTGGCTGCATTAAGTTTATGAGCTGGAGACTGGCAAAATGGTTTAATTAGACAGACAGGCGAATTAAGCAAGTTGCAAGTTGTATATAGGGAAGCGAGTACCACCTCTGGCTGGAAGAAGGGGGACCCATAGCCTCGGAGGAAACCACACATAACGCATTAGAGGAAATGTTTAGGTCCCCTCCAATACAGTTTGTGTGTGCTGTTCTCCTACCACTCCCTTCCTCTTGTGTTTTTTTAGTACTGTATTATATATTTAATGGTTACAAGATGTACATTGTATGATACAATGAGTGTTTAAAGGTTATGGATCCCTTGGAGCTCCTCCGCTTCCGGACAGGAACCGAGGACGCAGCTGGTGTATCCCCTCTGGACCACCACACTGAGGCGCTGAAACAAAAAACTGGCAGCTCTTGGGTCTCTGGTGACGTCAATGAGCTTGGAGCCCAATTCCTTGAGAAATCCCAAGGCACTCTTGCCCCAGGGGCCATGCGTCTCAGACGCTATGGGAACAAAGATGTATTGACCTTAAAATCGTCTGTATTTGACTGATCTTGCTATTTCCCTGTGGTTGGACGCCCCACCTGCTTGATCAGCACCGAAGTGTACATAGGTGTCAGCCAGGGTGGATACACATGTGTAGTCCCACACCAACTGTTTGCCTCTTTTCCAGGGGGTGTATAGTGATGCCATCAGGGCGAAGTGCGGGGTCATCCGGGTTTTGGTCCGCTAGGATGCGAGGTTCTCTTTCTGCTGGGCACCTAGCTGAGACGAGGTTCCTCTTGATGATGTCATTAACCTCGATGTGTCTTGCATGCCAGCCCTTTGTGCTTCCGCAATGCAACCCATGCAGTCCATATTGGTCTGCTTCCACCCCTCGTAGGGGGCCTCGTAGCCTGGTGGATAGCGCGCAGGACTCGTAATTCTGTGGCGCGGGTTCGATTCCCGCACGAGGCAGAAACAAATGGGCAAAGTTTCTTTCACCCTGAATGCCCCTGTTACCTAGCAGTAAATAGGTACCTGGGAGTTAAGTCAGCTGTCACGGGCTGCTTCCTGGGGGTGGAGGCCTGGTCGAGGACCGGGCCGCGGGGACACTAAAGCCCCGAAATCATCTCAAGATAACCTCAAGATAACCCCTGTTGTAAATTACACTTGTATTCAGTGTGAATTGGGGCACCAAGGCGGAGGGCCACTGCTACACGAAGGGATTCTGGATCTAGGCGCGTGCCCATTGCTGACATGGGTACTGCCAGGAGGAAGTCTCCTGCATGGGGGGCACGCACTGCTCTGAGGCGGGACTTCAACAAAAGTATTTCGATGAGTCACAATAACGTGGCTAAAGTAAGTTGACCAGACCACACACTAGAAGGTGAAGGGACGACGACGACGTTTCGGTCCGTCCTGGACCATTCTCAAGTCTATTCATTCGACTTGAGAATGGTCCAGGACGGACCGAAACGTCGTTGTCCCTTCACTTTCTAGTGTGTGGTCTGGTCAACAAAAGTATTTGCTCACTATGTATGTATGTATGTATGTATGTATGTATGTATGTATGTATGTATGTATGTATGTATGTATGTATGTATGTATGTATGTATTATTAAAGATTTATGCTAGCGACTAGTTCAATAAGTTGAAGGCAAGATTTATGAGGAAACACCTGTGTAACTGAACTTGAATCACTAAATATGGAAGAATCATTGGAGACATGATCACGACGTTCAAAATATTGGGCGGGAATTGGCTATAGGCAGACAGAAGAATATTTAAAATGATAGAGACACAGTCATGGGAAGTAATTAACATAGACTATAAAGGCTCGAATGGGGCCACATATAGTTACAATTACAAATGGCTTTAACCTGAAATCAATGAATCAGTTGGGGATGTTGTACACACACCTGTCGATTAAAGCTTGAGAGGCTGAGCCCAAGAGCTGAAGCATACAACGCTGTGAGGAGCCTAAAGTGTGACTTGAGTGATGGGTAATCAATGTTAATGACGTCATGGGTTGGGTATGGGTATAGGTTAAGTAATAATTGTAATTACGAAGCAATAAGATGCCTATCTTAACATACTAAGAAGTTAGGTAAGGTCGGTGTTTTCTATGAAGCTTTTCAAGGTAAACTAGTATGTTTAGTATGTCACATATGCACGTATTTAATAAGTCAATATTGACTATACGAAAGTGCGAGAACGGGTTGGGGTATGAGGGGCATAATAAATGACTAAACTAAATATATAAGAAGAAAAAGAATAACGTATAGACGTTTAAACAGATAAAAGTATCTCCAAAAATAAAATAAAAATGTAATCTAAGAGGAATAACGAAATAAAGTCGAAGCGATCATACCAACCTGAAAAAAATAATTGGAACAAAAAGTGATACAAGAGAGTTAACTAATATACATAAATATTAAATCACATATGTAACATCAAATACCTTCCCAAGTATTGGACCAAATAAAAATTCATACACACAAACACACAACAAATTTAGTATAAACAAAATGAGAACTATGTCTAGCACCCCCAGATAAAAAGACAAATGCAGACGACCTCTTTATAAACAGTATCCACACCCCCCGGATATAACAGATGCGAACACCAGCACAGCAGACTTGGACAGAAAAAATAAGCAATATGCTCATATGCTCAGCACCGAGTCACCAATCCATGAAAAAATCAATATTTATATAGAAATGTGAAGTACCAGTAGCGCGAGTACTCGGTCTAGTACTCTATAAAAAGCTTGGACACAGACGAGATACCAAAGAAAAAAGGCATCACAATTCAGATGATAACTCCACTACATAAAGGAGGCAATAAAGCACAGGCAAACAACTAAAGGTATATTCCAGATATACTCAATGTATACTCCAGGTACCCCTCCAAAAGTTGGGGGGTAAAGGGGGGAGGGGAGAGCCTCCCCCCCCCTAACCCAGGCCCCACACTACCACCCCCTCCTTCAGGTAACCTAAGACGCCACAATCAACACTACCTCTCTGGGGTGTTCGTTAGTGTGACTGAGGGGGGGGGGGGGGAGAAGGGGGAGTAGGGGGAGAGGGGTGAAGGACCTACGGTTTGTTGGCGGGGGGGAGTAGCATGGGGGGGGGGGGCGGCGGACCCTGTATGGTGGGGAGTGGGGGGGGGGTTGGAATAGGGGTGTCCAGGAGGGCGTTGATGAGGTGATCTCATTTGTTGATTGATGTAGGAGACAAGGACTAACACACACACCTGAGTATATGTCTGTATGTATATATATGTGTATGTATGAATGTATGTATGTATGGAGGGTTAATAAGACTACCACAATACCCTAATGACCAGCCAGCAAGTACACTTTAGTCCTGTATATTGTCCAGGACTAAACCAAAATACACCTCGAATCTGGCCACAGTCCCGTTAAGCTAGTGGATGTTAATGCGGTTAATCGAAGCTCCGGATAATTGGTAATTGGGCCGCTATTGATAATGTAAACATCGATTTTTTAGCGAAGCCTATTGCGTTAGAGAAATAGAGATAGACTTCTATTTATCTAAATAGAAGCCTAATTTATCTAAACGCACCTTTGATGCGCTTATGTTTGTTTTCTACTAAGTCATTTGTATATATTTTGTGCACAATGTTGATATTGAATGTATTCGTGTTATTTAATATTATTTTGAGCAATTATTTTATTTTTTTTAATAGTTTAAATTATAATAGTTTAATGTAATTCACAATGACGTGGGTAAGGGTATATATATATATATATATATATATATATATATATATATATATATATATATATATATATATATATATATATATATATATGTATATATATATATATGTATATATATATATATGTATATATATATATATGTATATATATGTATATATATATATGTATATATATATATGTATATATATATATGTATATATATATGTGTATATATATATATGTATATATATATATATGTATATTATATATATATATATATATATATATATATATATATATATATATATATATATATATATATATATATATATATATATATACCTGAGGATGGCTGTCATCCACTCCTTACATCCATGTCCTATATGGCGTGGATGAAGGGGTAGCGTTGCAACTGGATACCTTACTGGTGCTCTAGGGGGGAAAAACTTCAAGTCTCAGTTGAGTACCAATTAGGTATACTTCTAAGACTCCTTACTCTACGAGCATCGTGGGTTATAGTGACCGGCTCGTCATTTTTTTTTTTTGACCCGAGTTTGAATCTCCCACTACTCTGGGATTCGAACCCCCCCCCCCCCTTGAGCTGTTATATAGAGGGGGTTGGAGGAGGTACTGGGCCAAAGGTGTCAACTAACAACAAGGGTGGAGGTCCCTGCAGGTTTGCATTTGTCACCCGAGCTCTCTCTCTCTCTCTCTCTCTCTCTCTCTCTCTCTCTCTCTCTCTCTCTCTCTCTCTCTCTCTCTCTCCCTTGCACCTGTGGTGTACCGTCTCCCATGGTCAGGTTACATGGTGTAAACCACTTTAACGTGGGAGATCTGGCGAGGGAGGGGGGGGGGGGAGTGAGAGGTTTTTAAGTGTTCCAAACCTGTGTGTGTATGTTGCCTATATACACCTGTTCATGTGTGTCCACAACAGCTACACGTCTCGCTAGCTCCACACACACTCCAGCTTCACTCCACACCTGCACGCCATGCAGGCCGTCAACTCCACACCGGGCCGCCAACTCCACACCTGCACACCGGGCCGCCAACTCCACACCTGCACGCCAGGCCACCAACTCCACAACTGCACACCGGGCCGCCAACTCCACACCTGCACGCCAGGCCACCAACTCCACAACTGCACACCGGGCCGCCAACTCCACACCTGCACGCCAGGCCACCAACTCCACAACTGCACACCGGGCCGCCAACTCCACACCTGCACGCCAGGCCACCAACTCCACAACTGCACACCGGGCCGCCAACTCCACACCTGCACGCCAGGCCACCAACTCCACAACTGCACACCGGGCCGCCAACTCCACACCTGCACGCCAGGCCACCAACTCCACAACTGCACACCGGGCCGCCGACTCCACACCTGCACGCCAGGCCACCAACTCCACAACTGCACACCGGGCCGCCAACTCCACACCTGCACGCCAGGCCACCAACTCCACAACTGCACACCGGGCCGCCAACTCCACACCTGCACGCCAGGCCACCAACTCCACAACTGCACACCGGGCCGCCAACTCTACACCTGCACGCCAGGCCACCAACTCCACAACTGCACACCGGGCCGCCAACTCCACACCTGCACGCCAGGCCACCAACTCCACAACTGCACACCGGGCCGCCGACTCCACACCTGCACGCCAGGTCGCCTACTCCAGACCCGCACGCCTGGTCACTGTCTCAGTCTCCACACCACCAACCCAAGCAACCCACCTTACCTATCGAGTCCGATGCATAGAAAACGCGGATATTTGGGAACCGTTATATTCCATAACAGGTTGCATTTGTAACGTTGGTTACCGTAACGTTAATAACGCGACCGATTGATTGAAGTAACAGGTAACAAAATAAATCTGAGGGATTTCCCGCCAAAAAAACTAAAAATATTACTTTTGGCGGGAAACGCGTTCGCATCCTCCTCGTCCTCTTCCCATCTGTTCCACATTCACGTCATCCTCGTCACTTCTTTCCCTTTCCCCCCCCCCCCCCCCCCCCCTCCCTATCTCATCCCCGGGGCATTGTCAGCCCTCGAGTGCCGGTAATATACCCCAGGAACCGGCCATTGTCATCCGGACAGCTCGGAAAATCGAGTCCGGAGTCGGTACCACATATACCTTAGAGACGTTGTCATTCTCACCTGCTTCTTCTGTTGGCTTAGGCTTCGACCGGCTCTTACGCCAGGCTACCAACGTCTCGACCCTCGTCCTTCTGTTCTGTATTAGTATTTTTTGTGTATTCTGAATTTTTCGTATGTATTTATATATATATATATATATATATATATATATATATATATATATATATATATATATATATATATATATATATATACATCGTAGATTTTTTTTTGTATTTGGGAGGTGGTATTTGTACGTCGTTTACACTACTGATATTAATTGGGTTGTTGTTGACTGATTGTCTTTTGTTTCTGGTTGACGAGGTTTTTCCTTGGCTGCAAGAGGCGGTGGTGGACTTAATTCCTGCCTCACCTTGCAATCCGTCCTCAGACTAGGCTCGAACAACGCTGTAGCCGACCTCCAATGATACAATGGTCAATTGTAATGTATTTTCTTTAATACATTATTATGCATCTCATACACGTCCTGTGAATATATCTCATAACCCAAAAAAACTATATTTCCTCGAGCAAAAGTTATTATTAAAATCAGTTTTTAATTTGGTGTATATTTTTATATATATGCCTATACGGCAGGTTAGGCTTGGAGTGTTGATTGTTCTGACAATTATTCGTCAAAACAACTAACTGCTTGTTACGCTAAACAAGACAAACAACTCAATTGCAGTTGTAACACTCTACGACGTGATCTTCATTCCTTTCTTGTGTTCGAAACATTCTTGTCAAAACGGCTTTGGTTGACGGGTTAAGTTCGAAGCCTATCAACCTCTACATTATTATTAAGGTCGGCAAATGTCAAGAATCAAACAGGAATAACTAGGTGAATACACACACACACACACCTGATGACTCTGTTATCTTGCTCAGGAACATGTTCCTTCAAGCTCTGGACCTCCAACATCTGGTTTGGTTCACCCTTCAAGGTCGCTAACTACAGAGAGAGAGAGAGAGAGAGAGAGAGAGAGAGAGAGAGAGAGAGAGAGAGAGAGAGAGAGAGAGAGAGAGAGAGAGAGAGAGAGATTGAATAATACCGGAAGTGTGTGTGTGTGTGCTACGCTTTTCAGTATTCAAAAGGTTCATCCACCTTTTTATCGTCATGTGATCGGCGCAACATAAATATCGGAGAAGGTAAGCTGCCTGAAGCTCTCGCAGAGCACAGAATTTGCATCGAAACTCCCCCAGCACGGGAGGGGACTGAAGACCTGATGCCTCTGCAAGCCAGGCTATGGACCCGAGTCCCGCAGCGACCTCACTGCGGGGCAGGTCTGGCAACGCCCCTTTCCCCGCGGCACCACAGGTCTGGAGGAGAAACCCCCCCAAAAATCCCTGAAATTCCAACAAATTTTCTCCAAAAATAGGGACTGAGTCGCAGATGAATCAGTAGGCCTATCCATGCTAACAGTGATAATTGCCTGGGGGGGGAGGGGGTTGGTAAAAGGGGGGGGGCTAACTCTGACCCCAGGGGGGACAAAGAGAGGAATTCGTTCCCTAGCATTTGTAGGCCTATTATCTTATTTCTGACGGGAACCTGACCCAAGTTTCTGGTCTACGTCCCTCCCTCCCTCTACTCTGGCGACTGCGTGGGAAATGGAAGAAGGAAATAGATGCAATAGAATAAAATAGAAGGAAGCTGTGGGCAGCAGAAGGAAGGAAGGAGGGAGGGAAGGATAGTGAGAGGATCAGAAAGGGATGGGAAGGGGGAGGAAGGTGGAAGAGAACTTCGTGAATGGTTTCGATTCACAGTCATCATAAGTCCTCGGATACGAATCCCTGCCATAGCAGAAACAGTTTGGCAGCATTTCTCTACCTCATGCCTCCATTCACCTAGCAGTAAATCGGTGCCTAGGATTTAGGAAGCTGTTGTGGATTGCATCCTGGGAATGGCCAGTAGTTGGCTTATTTTGACACACGCACACCAAAGAGGCGGGACCAAAGTGCCAGAGCTCAAACCCCGCAAGCACAATTAGGTGAGTACACACACAGCTGTGTTAATGATTGGAGTTCAGGAATAGGAACGCTCCAATCAGGAGTGGTGGGGAAGGAAGGATCGAACAACTGTGACGTGTTGTAAACCTTGAGGGTTTACAAATGGAGGGGTGTTGATAGTAGTATAGCGAAGATCTTCTGCCTAGGCAGGTACAAGATGGAAATAAATCGACTCATAAAGATAATATTCACTAACGAGGTCACAAGAGGCAATCTTATCCAAAAGAGTAAACTTCTGCGTGTAACAGAAAACAATAATGTTTTTCGGCAGAGGTACATGACGAGAGAAGAGTGAGGCAAGGCAAGAAGCAAGAAAGGGAATTGGGGGGGGGGGAGACCGACAGGCTCCAGCTCAGTACCTTCAGAGGGGAGTGGGGAACCCTCCAGTCGGTAGGATTGCAACCCCAGAAAATAGTGGAACAGAAGACAAGACCACCCAACAATCTTTCTCCCCCCCCCCAAACAATCCCTACAGCTCCTATTCCATAAAGATCCCGTCAGTCCCATGCCCTCCCTGATCCCCTCAACTTAGACCCAGTCCCACTCCCTCCTATCCCAGTCCTTTGTTGACCCCCCCCCCCCCCACAATAGAGCAACTTCCTATACCATAGGAACTGACACCAGTGGCAAGCAAGACGGGACAGAAGAACGTAATGAATACAAACACAGATGGAATTACTCATAAAGCAAGTGAACTTGGGGAGAGAACACAAACAGGTAACCCAGATGAAATAGTATTCACTGAAACGAAAGTATCAGATAGAGCAAATATGGCGTTCCCCCCCCCAGGACTCCACTGTAATAGAGAAGGAAGGGGAGGAGGAGGAGTAGTCCTACTGATAAGAAAGGAATGGAGTTTCGAGGAGATGGTTATCCTAGGCTGCGAGGAAGGAGGGGGGTGGGGCATGGCAGTGACTAGATAACAGACACCGTGACAAATGGCAGGACCAATGATAGTAGCAACAGTGATATATATACCCCCCCCCCTCCCCATTAAATGACAGACGACCTTAGACCTTAGACAGGCGTATGACAGAAACAACAGGGCATTTACCACTAAAATAGAAAATGTATATAGTGTATATACATTTATATAAATACTATAGATAATGAAAAGTGTATAAATCTATATAGAGCTTCTGTCTCCTATAGACATCGATCCCAACATCTATATCATGGGAGACTTCAACCATGAAAAAAAAAATGAGAGATTGTGAGAAAAAACAACAGGGCGGAATAGCACCATCTATCGACCATTGCAACAAGACATACTTTATAGGGGAGCCGGTCGGCCAAGCGGACAGCACGCTGGATTTGTGATCCTGTGGTCCTGGGTTCGATCCCAGGCGCCGGCGAGAAACAATGGGCAGAGTTTTTTTTTCACCCTATGCCCCTGTTACCTAGCAGTAAAATAGGTACCTGGGTGTTAGTCAGCTGTCACGGGCTGCTTCCTGGAGGTGGAGGCCTGGTCGAGGACCGGGCCGCGGGGACACTAAAGCCCCGAAATCATCTCAAGATAACCTTATAACCCAACATTTTCAACAGGGAACGAGAATAAGGAGTAATGATGAACCGGTTAGACCTAGCCTAATACTCACTACGAACGAGTCAAACACAAGGGGGAGTAAATCAATTTGGAAGCAACCCCCCCTCACTCCCTTCCTTCTCTCCCTTTTCCTTTCCCTCCCTTTTCCTTCCCTCCCATGAGCCTGATCAGTGAGGTTCGGATCCTAACTTTATAGAGAGATCTAGATCTCTCATTTGTAACTTCTAATATCTTATTCTTCCTCTTATCTGCATCTATCAACTTGGACCCGAATCCGTCTTGAGTGTTGAGGTTGCGTGTGTGTGTGTGTGTGTGCGTGCACGAGTGCGTGCGTGTGTGCACACGTGAATATATATATATATATATATATATATATATATATATATATATATATATATACATATATATATATATATCCCCTTTATGTCCCCCCCCTCACAGAGCCCCACGTGGAGGGGTTTTCTCGATAAAGCTGTCACTGTAGAGCCATATATGTATGGCATTCACACATATATACATATGTGCGCTCCGCGAACTGAATTCAAATGAGAATTTTAATAATGAAGTGAATTGTGCTCGAAATTTTAACATTCTATGAGGATAGGTGAGGTGAGGGGGGAGCGTGGCGGATAGTAGGGGAAGGAATGAAGTAGATGAAGGCAGGAAAGAAGGGGAATTAAGATGGAAGAAAATGGTAGAATGAAAACAAGGAAATAAAATATTATTCTGTTTAATTATAAGCTATTTTTCGTGAAATCGTTGGACGTTATCAATTGTGAGCAGACCGTCCTCATAAAGCAGCAGACCGCCCTCATAAAGCAGCAGACCGTCCTCATAAAGCAGCAGACCGCCCTCATAAAGCAGCAGACCGTCCTCATAAAGCAGCAGACCGCCCTCATAAAGCAGCAGACCGCCCTCATAAAGCAGCAGACCGCCCTCATAAAGCAGCAGACCACCCTCATAAAGCAGCAGACCGCCCTCATAAAGCAGCAGACCGTCCTCATAAAGCAGCAGACCGTCCTCATAAAGCAGCAGACCGTCCTCATAAAGCAGCAGACCGTCCTCATAAAGCAGCAGACCGCCCTCATAAAGCAGCAGACCGTCCTCATAAAGCAGCAGACCGCCCTCATAAAGCAGCAGACCGCCCTCATAAAGCAGCAGACCGCCCTCATAAAGCAGCAGACCGCCCTCATAAAGCAGCAGACCGCCCTCATAAAGCAGCAGACCGCCCTCATAAAGCAGCAGACCGTCCTCATAAAGCAGCAGACCGCCCTCATAAAGCAGCAGACCACCCTCATAAAGCAGCAGACCGTCCTCATAAAGCAGCAGACCGCCCTCATAAAGCAGCAGACCGCCCTCATAAAGCAGCAGACCGCCCTCATAAAGCAGCAGACCGTCCTCATAAAGCAGCAGACCGCCCTCATAAAGCAGCAGACCGCCCTCATAAAGCAGCAGACCGCCCTCATAAAGCAGCAGACCGTCCTCATAAAGCAGCAGACCGCCCTCATAAAGCAGCAGACCACCCTCATAAAGCAGCAGACCGTCCTCATAAAGCAGCAGACCGCCCTCATAAAGCAGCAGACCGCCCTCATAAAGCAGCAGACCGTCCTCATAAAGCAGCAGACCGCCCTCATAAAGCAGCAGACCACCCTCATAAAGCAGCAGACCGCCCTCATAAAGCAGCAGACCGCCCTCATAAAGCAGCAGACCGCCCTCATAAAGCAGCAGACCACCCTCATAAAGCAGCAGACCGCCCTCATAAAGCAGCAGACCGCCCTCATAAAGCAGCAGACCGCCCTCATAAAGCAGCAGACCGCCCTCATAAAGCAGCAGACCACCCTCATAAAGCAGCAGACCGTCCTCATAAAGCAGCAGACCGCCCTCATAAAGCAGCAGACCGTCCTCATAAAGCAGCAGACCGTCCTCATAAAGCAGCAGACCGCCCTCATAAAGCAGCAAGCAGACCGCCCTCATAAGCACATGTGTTATACAAGGTCCTAAATGCCTCCCTCATCTGGAACCAGTTCTCTGCCTTTATCACCCCAGCCTCATTACCTTGCACTTGCTCGAGGTAAACTCTAAGAGCCACTCGTTCGGTCCTTCCGTTTGTATGCGTGCGAGGCTTGTGCCTGTGTGCAGTACTATATTGACCGTGCGTGTGCGTGTGTGTGTTGTGTGCGTGCATGCGTGTGAGGGAGAGAGGGAGGGAGGGAGGTAGGAAGGTAGGTTTTTCAGTACCATGACTGGGTAGATAGGAATTTCAGCCACTTCCGGCCTGTCTAGGCTGCAGGGGGGGGGGGGGGGGTTCGATTCCGCTCCTTCCCCACGTGCTATAGCAGCTATAGGTAGCTAGGACACGGTAACTATAAGGCCCGGTCTCCGCTAGCAGGGCAGGAACGGTGACGTGATATATAAACCATTCATTGAGTGCCATAGTCACGATATTAATGATACTGTTCCTTATGCATATGGAATACAATTGTTATTCATTCCAATTACTACTACTACTACTACCTCATAAAATATTAGTGTGGTGTGTGTGTGTAAGGTAAGTGAGTACACAGCCCCTGCTCACCACCCTTCCCTACCCTCCCCTACCCTTCCCTACCCTTCCTACTCCCCCATGTCATAGCATTACAAACGCACACACGAGCCGGGAACTTTTCTATTGATCGTCTAAGTTCTTGCATGATGTGCTACGCTGGCTCCTGTTGCCTTCTGTTGACTGTTACCTTCCTCTGTTGAGCTTTGAGTCTGTTGAACCTCTCGTCTTATGACACCTGTTAAAACACCTGTTAAAACACATGTGTTTTTTTTCTGCCGAAGTTGTCTGTCTGACTGCAAGAGCAACGCAGACAGGGTTCGACTCTCTCTCTCTGACTCTCTCTCTCTGTCTCTCTGTCTCTCTCTCTCTCTCTCTCTCTCTCTCTCTCTCTCTCTCTCTCTTTGTCTCTCTCTGTCTGTCTCTCTATCTGTCTCTCTCTCTGTCTCTCTCTCTGTCTCTCTGTCTCTCTCTCTCTCTGTCTCTCTCTCTCTCTCTCTCTGTCTCTCTCTGTCTCTCTCTCTGTCTCTCTCTCTCTCTCTCTCTCTCTCTCTCTCTCTCTCTCTCTCTCTGTCTCTCTCTGTCTCTCTCTGACTCTCTCTGACTCTCTCTGTCTCTCTCTCTCTCTCTCTCTCTCTCTCTCTCTCTCTCTCTCTCTCTCTCTCTCTCTCCTCTCTCTCTCTCTACCTGTGTTTATGTATACTTAGGTATGCATGTAATACAGAAATACAATAATTATGTATTTTGTATTTTATTGCATGCTGTATAATTGTCTGTGGTCTCTTATGCAGTATGTCTTATACATCAGCATACCACAAGTATATCGTTCAGTATGACTGCATCATTAGTCTAGCAGAATTTAGTATGTTGTATACTATTTTAAATATATTTTGGAGTAAGAAACAGTAGATTTTTGTATATAGGAGTATGATGAAATATATCTTTGGCAATAATCATCCTTATATCATACTCTGATTATACTCACGAGAGCGAATTATAGGTACATTCGTAAGCCAAACCTGAAATTATACCGAATGATTAATTATATAAAATACATCCCTGTAGTGGCTGTTGTAGTTGAGGCTGGAGATGTATTAGTGCAATTGATTGCATTAATACATCTGCTATATATACAAAGCCTTCCGTATCAAACCAAACATTGGTAGGGGGGGGGGGGCATTTGATTGTTTCAAGCGTAGGATAGACAACTGCACTAGTCTTGGTAGATATCATTAAATAAATCTAATTCTAACCAAACTCAACTCAGCCTCCTAAATTGATAATATATTTAACTGCTATGAATGGAAGGTACAAAATTTAGACTGTTTTTTTTGTAAAATTGTAATTCTGTACTTTTTTGTACTTTTGCTGTTTTGTACAGCAACTTTGTATTTTTGCAATTCTAATGGATATAGCAACAACAGACTAATCAATCAAACCTAAGCCTCTTCCCAGGCCTAAATTTCTCAATCCTTGACCAAACATATTCAGTGGTAGGCCCAATTTAGTACATATATGTACTATAAACGGCCTCACATTAAGTCTGTTGGTATAATAATAATAATAATAATAATTACAATTATTTCGTATATATTGTTGATGGGACGGGGGGGGGGGGGAAGAAGGGGGGGGGGAAGGGGGGGAGCAGAGCATAGAGGGGGTGAGGGGAGGGGGGAGGGTGAGAAGTGAGGTAATGAAGCAGGGAGAGAAGAATAATGATGATGATAGGGATGAGAGATGGAAGAAAGAGAGTAACAAGGAAAAGAAGAGGATAGAAGCCGGGATAAGAGAGAGAGAGAGAGAGAGAGAGAGAGAGAGAGAGAGAGAGAGAGAGAGAGAGAGAGAGAGAGAGAGAGAGAGAGAGAGAGAGAGAGAGAGAGAGAGAGACGCAGTAACGGGAGAGGGGGATGGATGGAATTAAGGGGGAGGAAATGGGGTGAAATTGGGGGGGAGAGTGAGGAGAGAGGAGAGTGAGTGAGGGAGGGGGGAGGGGGGGTAGTGGGTGCATTGTGAGGTGACGCGTTGCACGCGCGAGCTGCACGTGCAACGAGGGGAGAGAGAGGGGGAGGAGGAGGGGAGGGGAGACGGAAGGGGTAGAGAGAGAGGAGAGAGAGAGAGAGGAGGAGGAGGGAGGGAGGGGGGAGACGGAAGGGGTGGCAGCGGGAAAGGGGTCGACAGGACGAAAAATTTCAATTTAAGAGGAAAGGGGACATATGGGTTGGGAGTAGAGGGTAAAAAAGGGGGAGGAGTGATAGATGGGAAAGGGGAGAGACGAGAGGGGAGAATGGGAGGGGGGATAGACGGAGGGGGGGATAGACGGGAGTGGGGGATAGACGGGGGGGGGGAGGAGTGGCGCCAGAGGTCAAGGAACGCACGGGTGTGCGTGATGCTACTCTCACGCACGTGCTCACACGCACGCACCTGGTCTGGGGCCTGACGGCTGAGTGGACAGCGCTCGGGGCTCGTAATCCTAGGGCCCGGGGGGCTCGATTTCCGGCGATGGCGGATACAAATGGGTAGGGTTTCTTTCACCCTGATGCCCCCCCTGTTCACCTAGCAGTAAATAGGTACCTGGGAGTTAGACAGCTGCTACGGGCTCCTTCGTGGGGAGGGGGGGAAATCCGTTGATTGGTTGACAGGAGAGGCGGGCCGAAAGAGCCAGAGCTCAACCCCGGCAAGCACAACTAGGTGAACAGACACACACG